TATGTTGTTTTGTCATTTCTGTTTTATAACCGACTTTAAAAAAAGGAGGAGGTTCTCAATTCGACTGTATGTTTTTTTTTGTATGTATGTTACGCGATACCTCCGGTATTTGTGAACCGATTTTCATGATTCTTTTTTTGTTGGAAAGGGGGTACCTCCATAGTGGTCCCATTTCATTTTAAAGAAAATCATCCACCTCTAAGGGTGGCTGTTCACGCATGAAGATTCATTTTTATAAATAGCGCCTAAATTTTATTATAAGCAGCAATTATTTTAATGGTTGATTTTGCTATTCTCCAATTCAAGGCGTTTTTCTTTCAATATACTTTGAGTAGTGAGAACCGATTTTTATTATCTCCTGTGTAATGTAATGTGTATGTAATTCCTGGTACTTTTGAGGTCGGTTTGTTTTCTGTATTTATTTTTTTGTGTGTCTTTTTTTATAAAGTGGCGTTGCAATAAATGGTTTCTATTTCTATTTCAAATTACAGGCATACGGGACTTGTCAACTTGTCGCAAGGTGTCGGGCTCAGTCGCAGTGGCGCTCAGATCTTTGTAATTTAGAGTAACTAAGTCGCACTGCAGCTTGTTCTTGACTTGAAAGTCCCGTCACTTGATGTCATAACAAATGGTTCGCCAGCTCCTTGTTAAGCTAATTAGTCCATGTCAATGGCCAGTTTGAATTTTACCACTCACGGCTTTTCCATCGCAAAAGAACTATACTTATACTATCCCGACTACATTAATCGGCTACTTGAAACTATAAAGGCTTTTATGAAACCCGATTTAGTGTAAAATATAGTTTACGAAACTTCAAGTCTCTTCAATGAGGTATCTATCACAAAGAATGCTGCAAGTAACAAAACCCAACTTCACAGCTGAGCTCTCAAAGGCGATAACCGATAATGTAACCGGAGCGCTCGCGCTGCTTTGACGCGTGAATCAAATAAGTCGCCAGAGAGAATAGTAATAAAATTGAACCGGGCCCCTGCCCAGATGTAGCTACGGATTTATCGTTCCAGCGATACGGAGACACACTTAGGATTTCTTGTTTGTTTTTTTTAATTCTGCGTAACGTAGCAGATATTACGCAGGCAATAATGAAACTTCAACAACTAAAATATGTCGAAATACTACGTCTATAACCACCACTATGCCACCATTCTATTGCTGTTTTACCGCATTTGTAATTACCATGCTTCGTAATAATATGTCCTGCTCCATTCTAGCGTCATTATCCGATGTCTTTGACCATTCGCATTTCAAAATTGGGATCTCGATCTTTATCTTCAATAGCATGACCACTAGGTACTAGAGTTTTACTTACGTTAATATAAAATGGCGGCATGATTGAGTTTATAATTCACTTCAAATATTTTCACACGTGACTAATCTTGTACATTTTGAGATTCTAATTTGTTTGTTTTTTATAATAACACTCCCACTCATAGCCCCGCACAAGGGAAACCTGTTAGAAATTTTTGAGACTCATTTCATATTTATATCTGATTAGGGTCAAGTCACGGAGCATTTTGGTGCAAAGTATTACTTAGAATTTTAAATCTTATCTTCTAAAGAAAAAAGTTCAAATTTCAGAACAGTCGCAAAGCCGAGCCTTGTAGCGACTAGTTCAAAAAGGCACTGTGTTAGCTCCTCCGGCCGCCTGCACGCCTCTGCTCTTTCAGTATGATTTGACCCTTAACAATATTGTTCGTGGATGCTAGTAGTGTTACAAATATCTTTGTAAAGACTTAATTTAGTTGTATTTCTGAGAAGAGGGAACCTGATAGCCTGACACACCATTTTTGTGCTTAGTTTAGGCGTTGGTCTTCCACAAAAATACATATACTGACTAAAAGCTCTACGTGTAATCTATTCCTAGGTGTACTACGCTTTTGTGGAGAAAAGTAAATTTATTATGACATTTTAAACAATCAGATATCCTTTCGCCTTTGATTATCATCTTGTTCCCAGTGCGTCTCCATCCGCGGGCAGTCGCCGGAGCTCGCTCGCTTACACATTCGTCGAGCTGCATCCAATATGTTTCCTACCATATTGTCTTTAACAGCTCCATTATACGTCGATAGATTGCTCGGAAAACTCCTCGTATTGCGTCGAGAGCGAATTTTTCTCTTCGCTTATTCTTATGAATATATTGTTCAGAGTATTTGGAAGAATAGTTATTTTTGTAGCAACGGGTTTTCCAAAAATATCTCGCATGAATCATACGAGCCCTTTTGATATAGACAAGGTTATCACAATATTTCTGCTTACTTGGATGACAAAATGCGTAGGAGTAAACCGTTTAGATTCTTCAGGTAAATGATAATCTTGAATATCTATTTACATAGTCATCACTTGAGTTACTTACTCGTGCTTGTCAAGGGAACAAAAGGGAATTCTTATGAACGGTAGTGTTTAATCATTTTGAAGGTGTGAAGTGCAGTTTACTTCCTAAATAACAAATCATTGGTCAAATCACATTTTTTTCAGGAGAGCAATTTTTCCTAGCATTATTTGAGCCGCTATTGTTATTTGGTTCTCCTCACCTATATACATATTTAAAGCCTACACATTTAACAGTATTTCTAAATACTTCTTATTTTTATTCAGTTCCATAGTTTTGACAAAATCCTGTAATTATTCAGAGAGGTCTATAATATTACCCTATTGAACATAAAACATTTGTGATTCAGAGTTTTAACTAAACTATTCATGCTTAATACTTTCACGAAGGAATGATATGCATTTAATGTTATTAATCGAAGTAATTTTTTACAATACTAATATTAGTATCTCAAAAAAATACTCTATACTATGAATTACCATAACAATTCAATGAAAAAATGTCCCAAAAAAGGTATTCCATTTTAGAAATAAATATTTTTAAAATACACTTACCTTACTTTAAAACACGCGTACCTCTGAGGCTAAAGACTAAGTCTTCAACCAGTGTGTCCTGCTAGTATTCACCTATGGCATGGAAACAACGACTCTGACGAAGAAGCCCGGAGAGAACTTACGAATGGCACAGAGGGCAATGTTAGGAATAAATGTTATTCCGACTCCATCGGATACCGAATGAGCGTATTCGACGGATAACTAAAGTCGGGGACGTTGTACGCAAAATTGAGACGATGAAATGGAAATGGGCAGGACACATAGCTAGGATGGATCCAGATCAATGGTCAGCCATGGGCCAACGCATGGTAGAGGTCATCCGCAACTTCGTTGGGTGGATGACGTTAAAATTTTCGCGGGCCCCAACTGGATGCATGTGGCACGGGAGCGACATAAATGGAGAGATTTGGAGGAGACCTGTATCTGAAAACGGATGGAGTAGAGGCTGCTTGATGATTGATGATGATGATGACACTTACCTTATAATGACTTGACGTCTAGAGTTCGTCCAGGGAAGTACTGCCACCTTAGCTATTTTTTGCCGCCAAGCAGTAATGCGAGCATTACTATGTTCAGGTTTTGAAGGGTTTTGAAATTGTCCTGTTCAACGAACGATGGTGTCTTGACGTCTATGTGCTAGTACTAGTGCTAGTTTCGTGTGTAATACTGAATACAACTGTGTTGCTCAATGTTTGAGGCCAAAACCTGCGAAAAATTCAGAGATGCTACCCTGTCTCCCGCGCCATTTCACGTCCGATCGTTATAAGACCTTGTTCATTAGAAAGACCTCGATTTTTTCTCCTGCTATCTTACCAAAACTTTGCTCATCCGCTTTCGATGTGTTCATTGTCCCGGTCAACTCTCTCGTCTCAGACTCGCCAAAACTAATCATATGAACTTAAATATGGGATAACTGCAGTACACTGTTTAGTAGTTGATTTTATCTGTCTGCTATTTCCATCATCAGATCTGCTCTAGGTTACCATTTAATGTTCATTGAAATTACATCTATGTGTCAAGTTCTATTAAAATTGGTTAATATAAAGTGGGTAGGTTATAGCCACAGCAGAGCTCCTTGAGAAAGTGTTAGTCCAGGGAAGCACTGACACTTTACCTATTTCTGTCGCCAAGCAGTAATGTTAGCATTACTGCGTTTAGGTTTAGAAGGGTAAGGGTGCTGGTGGAATTACAGGCACATGGGTCTTGTTAATTTATGTCTCAGGTCGACGGGCGCAGTGGCTGTGCCCCACAGGTCTTTGCGATTTAAAGCTTTCAATGGCACTGCAACTGTGATGAACAGGCATGTAGCTTACCATCAGGCGCACGACTTGTTTGTCCTGTCACTTGATATTATAAAAAATGGCGAAATGAAAGAAACCAGATACATCCTAAAATTTTCCACCCTTAGAGGTTCTTCATATTTGAATGGGATAACTTCTGGAGTACCTCTTTTTCAACAACAAAACAATCATTAAAATTGGTTCACAGGTGTGTGGAATAGTTGTGTAACATACACAGTCAATTTCTGAACCTCCTCGTTGTTTGGAGTGGTTAAAAAAAGTGAGGAGATTTTTGTTTTTGAATTATTAAAAAAAAATATTTTATAAATGTAAAGGAAACAGTGTATACCTATAAATATCACAAGTAATATGGAAATAAAAACATTTCACATAAACGTTATCGACTTCCTCTAACATAATAACATGTAATTTTTATTACGTTTTGACAATACATTTTCCATTTTATAGATTTAAAGATTATTTACGAAACCTTTCAGAAAGCTTACGAATTACTAAGTGTACATTAAGATAATACATTAATTGCTATGATATTTAAAACTGTCTTCATATTAAGTACTGATTCGTTTTTATACACTATTTTTTTAATATTTTACACTTTTGTCTTGTTAAACTGACGCGATCTTTATTAGGAACATTTTGAGGAAATTCTAATTTTTAAAAACGTCTTGTTCTCTCCCTGTGATGTTATTTTTATTGATTGTTGAAAACCATGACGTAAATTAATCAAAATATATCTTTTATTACAGTTCTATTAGTTACATCATCACAAAATACACAATGGTGGCACGTGAATGATCCTGTGAAAGTAGAAGTGAAATTGACAGCACAAAACGCACCGTCTAGATTGCATTTTGTTCTAGCATTGGTAAATATATTACAATTATTTTAAAACAATTATAATTTGAGAATTTTAAACAAGTACGAGAATCAAAGGACAAAATAAATGAATACTTTTAAAATCTATTCACGGTTGCTTATCTGGTATTCAAAACGTCGTATGTAAAGTACAATTAGTCTAGGAGAATAGTTTCTTTTTTTATAGTACCAAGTCATTACCAAGTGCCAGGACTGACTAGTTGTGCGCTTGATGGTCACCGACACGCCTGTCCATAACAGTTGTAGTTCCACACCACTAGAGCTTTAAATCGTATGTCTTATTGTAATTTATTTAAATACAAACGTTATTATTTGTATTTAATTAAGATAATATACAGATAAGGTAAAAAAGACAATAAAAGTTTAACTACTAGAAAGTAAAACTAGGATTTTTAAATTATATGAATAAAATTGGGTCCCCGGGGCAAGGTGCCCAAGATGCTGGCAGCGTTCCCAAGTTCGTGGCGTTCGTGGCAAGGTAGCTGCCAGCCCTTGGGTTTCCCAGGCAGTCAATTACTTTCTCGATAACATTTTGTACAGATGAAGGGTACTGGGACCCCACGGGCCAAGGGTTACGACTCCAAAGGCTGTAAATAGGTAGTCGGAGCCGAGATCCTGGTACTTATTACTTTCTATTCTTTCCGCCAGCTCAGCTACAGAGCCAGCCATCTTGTTGGTGTGCTGAAGATGGGATGGGTCAACTGTGTCGGCACGTTAGTATTTTATATTCTCACTTTTTCTGTGACTATTTATAATTTACATACGATGTCGTGTGTATCAGATAGTAATAGTAGAGCGCCTTGTGAAAGAGTACGTCCAGGGAAGTACTGCCACTTTACATATTTCTGCGGCCAAGCAGTAATGTGAGAAAATTACTGTGTTCCGACTATGAAGGGTAAGGGTGCAGGTGAAATTACAGACACATGAGACTTGTCAACTTATGTCTCAGGGAGACGGGCGCAGTGGCAGTGTCTCTCAGATCTTTGTGATTTAAAACACTGAGTGGTACTTTAACTGTTATGGACAGGCGTGTGATTTACCACCAGGTGAGCGACTTGTTCGCCCCGTCTCTGGGACTCAAAAAAAAATTGTATTGGTAAAAATACAGACTTCTTTTTTTCAGCATGGTTTACTGGACGTGCCTAACGTGACCAGGGTTGTGATGCCGCTGGCCATCCGCTTTGCCATGTGCAAACTAGCATCAGTCTCCGTAGACGCGGCTAAAGTTGAACTCATGACTGCGTTGGGACTTGGTCACACGAGGCATGTAAGTGCTTGGAGATAAAGTTACTTATGTAACATACTAGTCTATTTATATGACCATTGTGGGTGTTAGTGTCGTCATTTGACGATGTCAATTTGATGACCTCGGTGGCCGAACAGTTTATATTGTGAGCACTGAATAAAGAAGTCCCGGCCCGGGTTCGATTCCCAGTAGAACCAAATTGAGAAATTAACTTTTCTAAATTGGTCCCGGTCTGGGTGTTCTAGGAATTCCGTACTCATACTGCAGGGAATTACCTAGTTTAAGACCAGGCAATTGGAGTGGTTGTTAAGATAAAAAAAAAGCTATTATCGATACTTTTGTCATAGTCAAGTCAGGCAAATCTGACTTCTTTGTGACATTGAAACGTGTCTCCTTTAAAAACCATAATCCTCCACGTGGGACCATTGCGAGTGGGCTTAAACCGTCTTACATTTAAAATGATAAATTTATTAATAGATGTTGAATCAGGGTTAAGTCATATTAATTTTTCGTAGCCAATAGATTGCGCTACGGTAAAAAGTAATTAAAAAACAAATATCTGCAACAAGCACACACAGACACACACAGAGACTGCTGTTCCGTTCCGTAGCTCGTTGCTAGAGGGTCAGCACGGTATGCTGCAGACGATGGTTCGAGTCCAGCCGGGTCGAATGAATTTTTCTTAGTCTTCGATCTTTCTATTCATAATTATAACAAACTAGTGGAAGTAATTTCACAAAAAAAAATAATGTCATGGTAGAAAAACATTGTAATATTCAATTAACTTCATATTACATATTAATCTATTTACCAGTTACTACAATGCTTCCAAAAACTCAGAGAGAATTTTCTCCACATAAAAGAATCAGACATGATGTTTGTGAACAAGTTGTACCTAAACCAAAGCAGCAATATTGACCCAGCGTTCTACGCAAACTCTTCAGAAATATATGGAATACATGTGGACACCGTCGGCTTTCAGTACCCGACTGCAGCGACTAAGTATATAAATCGCATCGTAAGTGTGTCATTGCCAGTTACATACATCATTACCAGTATTCAATAGATTAGACAGAGAATGCAGATCTCATGCTTCGAACCTGATATACCAGTTCATCTTCTTGCTGTGTTTAAATGTTGTAATGTAACTGTTCTAAAATCAAAATCAAAATAGTCTTTATTTCATAGGTAAGCATTATTACATTTGAAATCGTCACAATATGGTCACAATGGTTAATCTCTACCGCTCATTCGTAAGGCAGATTCCCCCGAGAAAAATGAGCAAGAATCTCTAGGGGTTGCTCATTGTTAATAACATTTGTACATATTCAACATTTAGAATATTTTTTTGTTTATTTTCAAATATCAAGATCTACCTCTATGAGCTAAACGGGTTACTACCACGGATTTTTATCTTCCAAGTACACAGAAGTATAAATAGCCTTTAGAATAGAATTTCTAGAGAAAGTGACTATATAATCGACGATGTCTACATATATAGGGAATACGTACCTACTCTCGCCTTGAAAAGTCTGAAGTCTTCTTGTATGCATTACATGGTATAGAAAAACATGATTGAGACCATATTTTACTGTATCTGATCGATAAGAAACTGCTCAATATTTTTGTATCTATAAATCAGTTTAGGGTTCCGATTTACAGTGTTTCTTTGCGAGATCGAGGTCTTATTTACAAGTTAGATGTTTATCATCTGATCAGGACTTTGTGTTGTTCCAAATGCGTTGCTTCCAAGGTATGGCATGATCTCACTGTACCTACGTAAGACAGTCATATTTTTCTAAAGAAATGTTTTAACTAGTTCTTATCCCGCAAATCCTGGAAAGCAATTGTTGTAGTATGTTATGAGTGGATATTGCTATGGATTTATGGATGGAGGTTGCTCTTTGTTAATAACATTTGTACCCATTCAACATTTAGAATAATTTTTTGTTTATTTTCAAATATCAGATCTACCTCTATGGGCTAAACGGGTTACTACCACGGATTTTTGTCATTCAATTACACAGAAGTATAAATAGCCTTTAGCATAAAGTCTTTGTTTGACTATAGTTTTAAACCCCGTGAATGGCAAATCTTGTTATAGAAGCGTATACATTGCCCTTTAAATGAATTTGTGTCTTTGACGACTATCAACATTGACTTACAATTATATGGACGTCGGGTCCGCGCTAAAAAGTGTCCGGCGTTAAAATCGTATACAGAGCGTCATTGACGCTTTAGTCGTCGTTTGTTCGACTGACGGCGAAGCAAGCAAAATTAGACAGTACGGCGATGACATTACGATTTAAATTCAACGTTTTAGCTTTTTCATATTCCTTTACATGTCACTACGTTTAAATAGGTTGACTTGGGACATTTTTTTCGTGGTTTTTGTATTAGACCCGTCGTCCAAATATTTGTAAGTCAATGACTATCAAGAACAGCTAGTTTATTTTTATTCCTCGTATTAATGTTATGTCTGTATATTTTTCATAAAGAAATTACTATTCCTCTTAACATAAATTATATTTTCATAAATGTACTGTGACGCTAGTGTAAGAATGTTAATTTCCTTAAACGTATCTTCTATTTCGGGAACCTTGAAAACTGGTATTTTTAACTGCATGAACCCATTCATGAATCATTGCAACACAGACCAGGGGGCCTACCATAACCTTTCCAAAAACCATCTTATTTCAATGTAAACTTATTATAATATTACTCATATTCGTACCATGACGAGCCAGTGAACCAAGTAATGTATTATTACAAAAGTGATTGAAAGAACGAATGATTTCCCAATATTGTCTATTCATTACTAAAAATAGGAAAGAGATAACGCTATGTGAACTATATAATGCCATCTCTTTCTTTTTTGATGTTCCGAACCGTCTTATCGTAGTATAATGTTTAAGTACTTAATGTTATTTACATTGAGAGGATTTTGACTGTTAAGAAAAGAAAAGTATGTAATAATGAAATCTATTAAAATTACGTTGTTTTCAATAATTATTCCGCATTTTCATGAAGAAAAACAAATAAAACAAACTGAGTCTTGATAGTCACGTTGTGAATTCGGAACTATAGTCTAGTGTCAACTGTTAGTTTCGCCAAGGAGCATATAGATGGCGCTGTTATAAGTTTACGAAATAAACAGGCGTATTTTTATTTAACGAAAAAATATTTACTATGTGCTATTAAATAAAAAATAAACAAAATATTGAAGTGATATATGTAAATATATAGTTTAACTTAACTTTTAATCATTACAAATCAATATTAAGACAATAAAACTGAAAATAATATTGTTTCCATTGCATCCGTGTAACTATTTTAAGCTTGCCAAATTTGACATAAGAGCAATATTACTTTAATGTCAAAGTCGCGTCATAGTACGAACTGAGTGAGTGAATAGTCACAAAGCTGCCAATAAAACATCATAGTTTTAACATTACAATAAGCTTACTTTAAACGCGTTATGGTACGAAAAGTCAATGTAAGGTTAAAGTAATATTGTTTTAAGAGGTTGTAGTAGGTCCCCTGAGGCCTTACTGGTATACACTCCGTGTAGCGCTGTCTCACAACTATTCATTTTATATCCTAAACAGGGGGTCTACTTCCATTCTCCAGTCGACATCTGTCCGAAACAATTGAGTAATACTCGACCAAATCAAAATGTATGAAGCTTCTTTCGCATCATGCATTTTTTAATTCGGTCGAGTATTACTTATTTGACAGTAATCGTTTCGGACGGCGAAGGGCGCGTTCCCATTATGTCGTGACGTTTTATTTGTCTTTGGACGACTGTTGCGTCTAGCCTGTTCCCATATCACAACTATCTGTCGTGGAGTATAGTGTTTTGTGGTCTCGTGACTGTGTCGTGGACGTTTATTTTATCGTTGAACGACTGTCGTGTCCTAGCTGTTCCCACTAGATCATGACGACAATTTATCGGTTCACTAAGTGTCATTCTTGCTCTTACCATTGTCACGACTAACTGTCGTCATGGCATAATGGGAACGCGCCCTTATACGAATCGGACGTAGTGCGCAAATGCTATAACTATAAGCCAATATAGTTTAAAGATTGACGGAAATGGTCTTTGTTTTACGATAAATATAACAAAATAAGTAACATTATTTTTCACCATTAAGTTTCTTTCGCTGAAACAAAAACACGAAAAGCTTGATTTTCTAGTTTCAGTCTTTTGTCCAGTCGAGTTTTCTTGTAATTTCCTTTTATTTCTTCACAGTTGTGTTTTTTTACAGTTACAAGTTTTGTCGTAATTTATTCAACAGATAAGCACAATGACATATAGAAGGATTCAAGATATTTTGACTCCTACCGACATAAACACAAACACTTCGATGCTTTTACTCTCTGCTATTCATTATAAGGTACACACTTTAAAAGCGTAAGTGATATTTTATTTGGTACCTCTACCCGTGATACTTTGCTTACGGAACTTATATCGGATCCCTAAAAGGATTGCACAGCTTTATAATACAAATTTATCGATCAGCAAAGCTGATTACGTTCTACTTGGTGTTGTAATTTTTTTTTGCGTATTGCTTGCTATTATTATGGTTCTTACTGTATTCTAAGGACCGACGCCCACTGAAGGGATGACTCTGCAGATGATTTTTAGGTGACGAAAGGTAATATACCTTAAGGCTATGATATTATAGTTGAAATTTCAATGATAATGGTTGTGGCTACAAAAACAAAGCTGCGGTATTCTTTAGGGATGCAGAGCCGGTGGCCTCCGGAATGGCTCGGCAGCCTTGTGGATGGTCTTTGGGATACTTCGACTGCCTTTGGGATTCTTCGGTAGGATTCGGAACGTCGAGTGAGATAGAGATCTGAAGAGAGACCAGTAGGGCTAGCAAGGGCGCGACTAGGATCTCTATGTGAGAATAGTATTATCTGTGCGCACGATGTCGCGTCGGAATGCTTCGTCATGCCTATGGATGCTTTGACATGCTTAAGGATACCGCATCGTACCTAGAAATACCACGGCATGCTTAAAAACACCACGGCATAATTGCCGTCTGTGAGCTCTTGCAGAAAGGGATGCCGAAAAATCCCCAGCCACCCCATCAGTGGGCGCCGGGCCTAAGTTGTCAGCGAATTTTGAGTGACTTTATGTTTTACATACCTCTTTCGAGAGGTTCGATTTTAAATAATGTCGTCTATTTTAAAGCCCACCTGGGAGACTCCGTTTGACCTAAGAGAGACTAGGCCATACAAATTCATAGACATGGACAATAATATAATATTAATTGATATGGTGACGACAACTGATCAGTTTTTGTACATGGAGAACCTTGAGTTAGATTTTAAGGTAAGTAGTAACAACTTGTTTAAAAGAACATATTATTATAGGTTAGTACCTTTTTCTCAAAAACTTTAACGGACTTTCATAATACTTTTTCTGCGGTAATTTATATTTTTGTAAGGGAATTGAGCAATATTTCAAATTAATCCGCCGTAAGAATCAAAGACGCAAACAGAACCTTAATTAGGATAGGTGTCAAGGGAACCTCGAGACTTAGGCAGGACTATATTTCCAAAGGTTTTCTCATAGATTTGGATTCAAACCTTACCTTACCAAGATATCTTACGGAAAACAAACCCCTGTTTTGTGCGCTTTCAGGTCCCTAAATAATCTGGGAAGTTATTTATGTACAAAAATCCGGTTGCAATTATATAATATTATATATTACTTTGACCTTATCCGCAGTACTCTGACATAGTCTAGTAAAACTATTCAAAGAGCGCAAAATTATTTTATGTTTGGAGAAAATCAACGTGCGAAATTGAATTTCTAGAGACAGTGACTATATAAGGTCGACGATGTCTACATATATAGGGAATACGTACCTACTCTCGCCTTGAAAAGTCTGAAGTCTTCATGTATGCATTACATGGTATCAAAAAACATGATTGAGACCATATTTTACTGTATCTTGTCGATAAGAAACTGCTCAATATTGTTGTGTCTATAAATCAGTTTAGGGTTCCGATTTACAGTGTTTCTTTGCGAGATCGAGGTCTTATTTACAAGTTAGATGTTTATCATCTGATCTGATCTGGACTTTGGGTTGTTCCAAATGCGTCGCTTCCAAGGTATGGCATCATCTCCCCGTACCTACGTAAGACAGTCATCATTTTCTAAAGAAATGTTTTAACTAGTTCTTATCCCGCAAATCTTGGAAAGCAATTGTTGTAGTATGTTATGACTGGATATTGCTCTGAGCAGATTTTTATTAATTTATTATAACTTTGAATTATGCTAAATATTTAGTAATCTGAAGTGATGTTTGTGTTATATTAGTAGAATATAAACGGCGTTGTAGAACACTCCGCCATTTTGATGAAGGACAGATTTTGATTCCCAACACTGTAGCCTAGTACAAAACTCTGAGTAATGTAGTTTTCAAATGATTTTACTATTATTATATTGTTTAATAATTTATAAGTAATTTAGTTGTATGTATATACAGCGTCTTTGCACGTATAATTCTGTTCCTCCATCACGCATAACAAGTGCCCTTGGAAAGTTTTGAGAGACATTTTTAATTTTATTACTTCAGTTTGCTTAACGGAAACTGTAATCATAAAAAATGTTTTCTCCACTTTTAACTACGTCCAATTGGCCAGCCCGTTTGTGTGAAAAATTTCAAATTTTTGTTGTAACAGTAGTTGCCTTAATTTTTAAACAAGACTTTTGTGGTCTATTTTCACAGATGTTCACAATGCTCTTATATCACAGAGGCACTTCAATAACATACGTAGTACCAAACAAACGTCACGGCCTGACAGCAATACTTGAAACTATGAAGCATAAACAGAACTTACTATTTGCAGCCAGAGCTGAAGCGAAGTACGAAATTATTAAAATTACCATTCCTAAAATGAAGATCAAAAACTCTATTTATTGGAACGATACTTTCCTAGAGGTATGTCAAATTTGTTTCTGCTTAAATTATTTATTCTAACTTCCGATACAAAACAGTGTAGAACGAAGAAGAAGAACTCGAAAACTATTGCCACGAATAACTGGTCTGCTGACTAACTGACAGAAACGGAAAGATTGATAATGAGTTGTAATGTTATAATGTTGTTAGCGCCACCAAATGTGTCAGTTGGCAGTTGTGATGTTGCTAGACGGAGTCTAACCAGTGGCGATGGGGTTAGTCAATCGAGTGCGCCTATGTCGTAGAAACGGGAGAGAGACCCCATACTTGTTGTTGAGACCGAACGAATTGGAGGTCCTGGTGCGCCAGGCCAGCATTGAACTCATTGTGTCACATTTTTAATCCATTTCTATCCGCGTGATCCTAAAAGTTATTGCGTACCTGATAATTTAATAAAGTAAACCAGTACCTGTGCTAATGATCTGTCACAATATTTCGAATTGAAGAAGAATTGTTTTGCTACGCCTATAACCACAGTGTGAGATTTTAACTCAAGATTTCCGCCATCCTGGATCCTATGATAATGCAAATTCCTGACAACGAAGCGTCAAATATTTTTTTTGTAAGAATAATCCACTTATATTTGTTGGGTCTTTATATCAATAATAACACCAAATCATGATTTCCTTCAGATGGGCATGAACGAAATTTATAGCTCCAATACATACTGCCTTAACAAAATTTTGAAAGAATACAAAGATAAGCCGATATATTTGAGTCAAGCCAAGCAAAAAGTTTTCTTTGAATTAGATGAGTACGGTACCTACAGAGTGCCAATGGAACGTAAGTACGCCGAAATGGCCTGAATTGTTTTTAACTAAAATAACAATATAATTTTAACAACCCTGGCTTTTCATATACTCAGATAGCTAGCCTAAAAATAAAGAATTGTAATTGTAAACAATATTTTAAGTGGAACAGGAACTAAATTCACATTTACAATATTACACAACACAATGGAGTCAACACAACTCCCATCCTTGCAAAAAGTCATGTGATCTGCGTACCAAATTACATGTTTTCACTCGCCATTGCCATATTAATGCTGTATTGTTAGACAATCTTGTCATATACGAGTTTTAGATGAACAAAAATAAAAGCCTGTTGTAACATGATGAAATTCTCATTGAAAAAACTGCCCAAAACATATAAGTGAAGTCGCGGCAGCCTGGCGTACGTCCTTTGAAATTTTATATCCCAAACTCGTGATGCTTGGCCGTATAGAAACAGACGTGGACGTCAGACGCTTAACTAAATTCTCTTTACAACAGTAATGTGCCAAATGGTCACACAAATTATCTGGTCTCAAAGGGAATTTCCTGTAGTGAGCAGAGCAATAGATAGAACCCACTCCGTGGCGCAAACCGACACGAGAGTCAATTTAGAAAAATCCATTTACCAAATTGGTCCTACCGGGCATGCAAACCGTTGAACCACTGTTATCCGCAAATAATATAGTACATGTAACTTTTTTTACGCAGTTTTTTTAAACTAAGTAGTAGTTTTTGCAAAAAGAGCTCTTTGTGAAAGGGTTCGTCCAGGGAAATACTGCCACCTGACCTATTTCTACCGCCAAGCAGTAATGTCAGCATTACTGTGTTCCGGTCTTGAAGGGTAAGTGTGCTGATGAAATTACAGGCACATGAGACTTGTCACAGTGACAGTGCCCCTCAGATCTTTGCGATTTAAAGCTCTGAGTGGCACTGCAAGTGTTATGGACAGGCGTGTAGCTTACCATCAGGCGCACGACTTGTTGGTCCCGTCACTTTATATTATAAAAAATATATGTATATAGAACAAGAAAAAAATATAAATCCTCTACATTTCACACGTCTAATTAAATCTAAAAAATTCTTCGACGGCTGCCTTCTGGAGCATCGTGCCCGAGCTGGCAACGTTTCGCCTTTAGATGGATTAGCTTCAGCTTCATCAGCTTTGGCGGACGTAGCTGTTCTGATCAATCAACGAGACGAAGTGAATGCTCCAGACGAAGTCACTATTATTAAATATTACTAACCAATATTATTGCTCAATCAATTAGAGCCGATCAGAAAAAACAGTCGTAGAGTCAAAGTAAAAGCGCATAACGTATTTTCGCTCTTATTACATGGACACAATACTTTTTCTGACAAGCTTTATGAGATTTAATGTCATTAAGAATGAACTACCTAAAGGGTTTCAGCTGACATTAGACTTGTAAGAAGACGGAGACCACTAAATCCAGTGACATAAAACTGAGATGGCAACTTGGAACTGAAACTGAATTTTCATTTCACAGAGAACGTAATGGACGCTATGCGCGACATAGGCAGATTGAGCCATTCATATTCAACTGAAGTGCGAGCGGATCGGCCTTTTTTGTTCTTCGTAAACCTGGA